CATGCGCTATATCTACTCTACGTCGTTTCGCCACTCGCCGCCTGAACATTTGGCCACCACAGCCACTACGCGACAACAATTTTCTGCGCTCTGCTGTCATAGAGCTGAAAATGGACAATGAATTTTAGGACGCATCATTGGTTGATTTTTCTCTGTTATTAACCAATGTCAGTGAAGGCAAAAAGTCGCTGATATTTCAGCGGCTTGTGGAAAAAGCCAAAAACCGCTGACACAAAAGTCGCTCCGAACACGCCCTAAAGCAGCATAGTAATACTATTTTGTGGTGACCTACTATTTATAGTTCAACAACGGTATGGTGCTCTTCATCTATAAACTACCTACTTTTCACGAAATTTTCTGGCTGCCATTTCATATTCATTTCTCAAAATACTTGTACATAGAGACGTAGAATCTATAGGTCTCAACGTGGCGAAGAAATCCTACGTCTCAGAATCAAATTTGGATAGGATTTGGTTGAGAAATAGAGATTGATAGTTTGCAAATATTAGCTGGCAGGTTATCTTTTGGCCATAGGGGTGACCGATTTACATGACTGGAATTTTTTATGTAAAATTATCCGGCAAAGTATTCAACATTATCCGGATAATATGCGTCCATTGAAAGGCCTGCGAAGTAAAAATTTAAGATGGCGTTTTGGACCAGACGCATCCTTTGGCGAACTGTGGGGTATTTGTCAGTTTGAATGCACTCTACTTCGAAGTATTTGAATGCTACTTTGTGTCTAGTCAGTCATTTACTGTAGTCTCTGGGTTATTAGAGGTCTTATAATAATTCCCAACAAACTACTGTAAATTTTGTACTACTACGTAGTACTCGAGTACATGTAGTACAGTACTAAGAGTACTACTTGGTGCTTACTGAATTCTGCGGAATCAAATACAAGGCGACACACTTTTACAGTTAATCCAAGCGGTTAATTGCCACGACCTCCCACGATACATATTCATAAAACTTTACAACATCATGATGGCGCTACGTCGACTGAGCATGGCCAATTCGGCGTCGCTCTTTCGTTCGTTTTCAAGCTGAATAGCTTGGGCGCGGCGATGCCGCACCACGGCGATGACGGCAATGGCGGCCGCAGCAAATCCACCAATCGCTACGCCGGAAATGGCGCCAACGTCGACGCCATTGGCGGAATTCGTCGCTTGAACATTTACATCGTTGTAAGGCTTGCTGTCGCCGTTGACTCGGTTGCCTTCTAATTGACCTTGACTTGGGGAGGTCCCGGCCAAGTTATTCTCCTGGTTAGTCCCGGCCGAGTTATTTTCTTGGTTAGTCCCAGCTGAGTTAATATCTTGGTCAGTCGCTACCGTTGAGTTAAACGTGATCGAGTTGGACGCGTTAATTGACGCAGTCGAGTTGTCGTTTAGGGGTGGGAATGTGATGTCGCTGCTGTTGGTCGAATTGTTGGTCGAGTTGTTGGACGTGTGGTTGGTCACTATGGGTGTGACTGGACGACTCGTGGTGGTCGGGGCGGTTGTGGAAAGGGGTGCAGTGGTCGTAGGTGCAAGCGTAGTTGGGGATGGTGATGCTGTGACTGGACGACTCGTGGTGGTTGGAGCGGTTGTGGTAAGGGGTGCAGTGGTCGTCGGCGTAAGCGTAGTTGGGGATGGTGATGTTGTGACTGGTGCCAAAGTGGTTGTTGGCGAAGCTGTAGTGGGAGGAGATGTTGGGGAATAGGTAGCAGGAGGTTTGGTGGTCGGCGCGGGGGCGGCAGTAGTAGGTGCAGGAGGGTTGGTAGTAGGTGCAGGAGCCTCGGTAGTAGGTGCAGGAGCCTTGGTAGTAGGTGAAGGAGTCTTGGTAGTAGGGGCTGGAGGGTACGTAGTAGGTGCAGGGGGGTTGGTAGTAGGTGCAGGGGGGTTGGTAGTAGGTGCAGGGGGGTTGGTAGTAGGCGCAGGTGGGTTGGTAGTAGGCACAGGTGGGTTGGTAGTAGGCGCAGGTGGGTTGGTAGTAGGTGCAGGGGGGTTGGTAGTAGGCGCAGGGGGCTTGGTAGTAGGCGCATCTGTGGGCGGGTACACCGGTGTGCCTCCAAACTTCCACTGGCCATTGGGATGGGCAATGCCAAAGTACGATTCGAATCCACCTTTACCGAGGTTGTCGTGGTACATGAAGTAGTACGCGGCCGTGCCCGTCGATTGCTGCCACCCCTTGACGTCATAGTAGAACTTCTCCGACAACGCAGCGCTCGCGGTGTGACCTTGGAATGACCCCCCCTGGCTGGGCCAGCCCACCTCTGTTACGCGGACCTTGGAGCCAAACTTGGCCACTACTGCCTCATATCTTCGCTTCAGGTCCTTAATGGGGTCGGTAGTCGAGTCTGGGGCCCCGCTAAAGAACGGATGGATGTTGGCCCCCACAATGTCGACGAGATCGGCCAGTCCTGGGTTAGCCAGCAGGTCGCCGTCAGTTTGCACAATGCCGACGGGGACGCGGACTCCAGCCGCTGCCAACTTGGCTTTCGCATCTTGCACTACGGACGTCAATCTCGCGGCGTTCCACCCTTGGTGCAATTCTTCGTTGCCGATAAAGATGACCTGCACCGCGTTCGGGTTGGCTTTGGCGCCGGCGATGGCAGCGTCAAGATCCTCTTGGTACCTGTTGCCCAACAACCACACCCCCGCCGCGATCTTTAAGCCAGCGTTGGCCGCGACTGTGATGGCGTTTTGGTTGCCCATGGATGTCTGGAAGGTCCGCACAGACTCGAATCGTTGCTTGATGGTGCGGAAATGGGCTGGCATGTTGGCCGAGTCGTACGAGTCGTAGCAGACACCGAAACCTTCGGCTATGACGGAGGTTGCCAAGACAAATAACCCCAACACGGGCAATACGATGTGATAGAGCATACTTCCGTGACAATGCAAATTGGAAAATGAGTCGCTATCAGAGGTTGACACTATGAACGAGCACGCAAGCTCTTATCCGCACGTTCGCAGAAACCACGTGGGGTGTCAAAACACACGGTAAATTCCATATATTGCGTTATACTGTGTGATATTCCATGTTGAATGAGTTAAACGTATAAGTTCAATCAGTAAGGTCAGCCCACGAACGTTTGGCTTCTGTAGCAGCCGCGCAATGCAAGCTGGACGTCGTGAAATGTGGCAGGTCGTATTAGAATAGGCAGGCACTGGACTTGGTTATGCTCATGATGGAGCATACGAATGTCAACCAGACATGCTTTGAACATTGCGTTGGAATTATCAGAAATGCACTGAAATGTGGAGGCCAGTGAAACGGTGTCGTCCGGCAAGATCCTGCCATTAGCATAGTATTATTTCTCAAAACGGAGATATCGCCTGGGTGAAGCCTCATTTTTTGTAAAAATACTCCGAGTACTGTACTCCATGAAAACGTTACAAATGGAGTGTAGTACGCTTTTGTGGTGAATCGCCAAATCAATTCTTTGTACTGAAATTTGTATGTAAAAGGTATCCTGTGGTGATTGGTTGGTACTCATGAGTATCACACTAGTTGAAGTCACACACTAATTCGACGGTAATCATGATTTCCTTGGCTAAACCCTTCTGTCGATGATTCTTGTGTCCATTTATGTGGTTGTGTCGATTCATTCTTCATGTCGCTCCAGTTTAGAATGAACAAAACAGTAAGTTTGAGTTAATCCGTTGTGTAGGTACAAATGCGACATTTCTCCGTTCCGTAAGTACTAACGTTACTAGTACTTACTATTAATTTAAATTCAAATAGCAACGAGTCTTTGCTACTGTACGTCACGGAGATTTGTAAAACTGTGGAAGCAGCAGAATGAGAGCATACCTGAGGTGTAGTTGCACATCTGCTTCCAACTTCCCTTGACATCCACATACAGGACCACAACATCATCCATGATACCTCGCAGCAGCAGCACGACCAACTTCTCTCTTAGACCAATTGCTTCATCCATGTCCCAAGTATGGAGGGAACGTAGAATGCAACAATCTCATTGTGCTAGTAGCTACATGTTGTGGAGTATTAATAGTAGTTGTAGTAAACTACCGGTTCCTCGTAAGAGGATATCGAATCTCCATATAAATACATGTAACGTTAGCTAAAACGTGAATTTGAATTAATCAGAGAAATGTCGCATGTGTACTTGCCCAACGGATTAACTCCAAGAAGTTTACTGCAGTACTAGTACTACGTAGTATACTTGTAATACAGTACTGAGTAGTAAGGTTAACGTTAGCACTGTACTAGTATACGGCAGTGCTGTATAGAACCGGTGTTGAGCATGGCTACAGTGTTCTAATACCGGTACTCTTATTTCAGTGCAAACGCAGCACCCCCATCTTACATTAGGACGAGTGAGCGGCAAAGCACATCGATCGAGTTTAGCTAATCACGTGGTAGGCGCCACTTTACAGAGTACAGAAAGTAGCCAACAGGATTTACACGTTTTCGGTTCTTTCAACCTACAGTAGCGGGCACTTCCAAGTACTATTGTAGGGGTCTAGTATCTTTCAAAGTAGCGGGCGCTCCAAGTACTACTATTGAAGGGGTCTAGTATCTTTCAAAGTCAATCGGAGCCAATCAGAATCGACGTACGATGAGTCATGCATTGTCGTGCTTTAGAAGGTTAAATTGATTGGATTACATTTTACTTGATTTAAGTATTGGCAGTTCTTCTCGCACCATGGGGCTGTGGTCGGAGCCGCCATTAGAGGGGGGAATAGCTCAGGTGGTAGAGCATCGGTTTCTTAACTCAAAGGTCGTGATTATTTCCGCAAGGATTTATCCGTCCCTCCCCTGGGGAATCCGGATAACAAGGGCCGCGTACGAAGACGAGGACCGAACTTCGAAGAAGATCGGTCGAAGCACGAGGTATGAAGCGTTGAGCGAAGTAAAAACCGAAGATTACACACCGCCCCTGGTCGAGCAGGCGCGTTACAATTGGCGAAGCGGTTCCATAACATGTGGTTCTAGTGTCGGCCCTCGCGGAGGAATGTCTTAAAAATGATAATCCAAAACCCAATTAATCGGAGCCGCCATTAGCGGGGGTGTTCTCGTCGAAGGCACCACCAGGGACGACAGTTGGGAAAGTATTTTGGGTTTAAAGCACGACGTACACGGTAGTACTTACTTGGAATAGGCCCTAAATTGCATATGTATGCAGTTTAGTTGGTGAAATAACCCCAATTTACAGTTAATGAAGTGTTAGCCTAATAAACTGTTATTATTAATAGTATTAATACCTCATAACGTTAGTAACGTTATAATAATGTTAGTACTATAATACTCCGGAGTAAGTACTTTGTACTAAACGTGGGTGTTTGTTACATCGACCCCAGTGTTTTAGATAATCCGTACAGTGAATTAGGATCACGTTTCGTTACAGAATGTAATTTCCGTGGTATAGGGAGGTCATTTAGGGGCGATTCACAGTAACAGCTTGCAGCGGAGCTTAGATATTTGAACCAATCACATCGCGTTCCAACGTTGCCAGCGAAATAGTTTCCTGGC